TAGCGATCCCAAATGATCTGCCGCTACCCCCTGTTCCAAACCTAAAGATTCCCTTTGATTCCAAGGGTTACACACACACGCCTCCCCGAAGGGAGGCATGTGTGGCCTCCATCCTGCCCGGAAAGGAGGCAAGGCACATGTGCACGCAAAAGGGACAGATGAAAATGAAAAGGACGAGACGTTGCAGAAGCCTAGTTTGCTTGTAAATGCGCCACGCGCGAGGAAAGAGGGAGGGGGGGGAGGAGGAAAAGAGAAGGAGGGAGAGAAGGAAGCAAAGGTGTTCCCAGCTACGGCACAAGCGTCCAAGGACACACCAAAAAGGAAGGGCTCCCAGCTATGACGAAAGCATCCAGGGACGCCCAAGGAAGAAGGTGAAGAGAGGAAAAAGAAGGAAAGAAAGAGAGAGGGAGAGAAAGGGAGAGGAGAGAAAGGAAGGTGTTCCCAGCTACGAACAATCGTCCAGGGACACACCAAAGAAAGAAAGGGGAGATCCTGAGTATTCCATTCAGGAAAGCGCCAGAAAGCAAAGAAAGAAAGGGGGAGCGAAGGGGGAGAAGGGGGGCTAAGTTCGCCACAGGTTCCAATGAACCTCAAAAGTACTTCGGTCGCTCTGACCACGTTGAGGCGTTAAGCCAGCTTGGACCGCTGCGGTCACGCAAAGGCGTGAGCCAACTTGGAATTCCAAAATGAGACAAACATCCCACTTCTTGTGGCGTAAGCCATCTGCTGTCCGCTCCGGACACTTACATCTCCGGGCAGGGGAGATAACGACAAACCCCCGTTCGACGGGTCCACGGGAGGCACTCTACGGGCTCATCCCGGGTTGGCACGAAGCCAAACACACTTATAGAAATGCGTACTGATGTGCATGCGGTGCCACACGCCGGCCTAGGGTTCCATTTCCTAAGAATACGAATAAGAACCACAGGTGCCTTGGGGTCCTCAAACGGAGAAGGGGCCAACCTCGTAAGGCGAAACCGATCCGACAGAGTGACGGCGTTCCGTGCGTGACTGCAGCAACATGTCTTTTGAGGTTCTGGGCTTAGCCTCATGCCATACGAAAATTTGCAGGTACGTCGGAGGGGCCAACTCCGATATCACCAGATCAAGTGGGCGCCTTCGTTGGTAGCGATCCCAAATGATCTGCCGCTACCCCCTGTTCCAAACCTAAAGGTTCCCTTTGATTCCAAGGGTTACACACACACACACATCCGCTACCATTACCATTCCTTTTCCTTCCACTTTTGCCCCCAGTGGTTTCACTTGTTATAAACACAAAAGCTTCAAATGTAGGGCCATGTAGGGTCATCCGGTCTTTTGATTCTATGTTTTTCGCATGAAACTTTGAATGGCATCAAGGTCCTTAAAAAGGTCTGATCATTGCAGACTTGGACCTAAAGGAAGTGCCTCCTCAGGCACCAAGGGCTATCTCGGATTGCTTCGTCCCAGTTCCCTTCTCCTTCCACCCTTCAGGCGTTGGACTTGGACCTTCCCACTTCCCTTCAGGAACAAGGAGGAAGTGGTTCTTGAGGCACCAAGGGCTCCGGATGCTCCTCAGGCGTTAGATACCTTCTCTTCACATAGCTCCCACAGCCTGGAGAAGGACGTCAAGACGTGGCGAAGGAAGGGTTGAAGGCTTCGGAGCGGTTCCTGGATTGGATGATGTCAAGTCAAGTGCCTTTTTGTGGTTGTTGATGTGGTTGTTGATGTGGTTGTTCGTGGTTGTGGGTGGCTTTGAAAACTACTTTAGTGGTTGCTGAATATGAAGAATTGGGGCAAAAGGAAGTCATGGTTGACTATTTTCGAGATTGCTCAAGTATCGTTTTGGGCGGCAGACTGAACATAGGGCAAGCATGTATCTCTCAAAGGGTTGTTAAAGGCTTGGTCAGTGTTTAGCCTACATCTTCAAGCTTTAGTTGAAGGTCTTCAAAAAATTCACTCCATTGAAGGACTCCCAGCACACCACGGTGACCAACACAGTATCCCACTGGGGCTGGCGCTCGAGCAGTTGATTCTGTCGTGCTTCTGATGTTCACATTGTGAGCTGAGAAATTGGAGTCCACATGCTTCACATTCCTGACACGTGTCAGTGTCGTTCGGAAACCTTTTTGCTGCAAGAGCTGGTAGAGTTGTGGGAAGGCATGTCACAGTCACAACATGTCGCAACCATGCGGTCAGCACATGTAGTGGTCAATAGCAAGTGACCTGCCCACAAACAGGTGTCTTCAATCTGAAATCATACCGCCGGGCTTTTCTCCCCCGTTCCATTCTCTCTTTGTTATGAAGGCGGCGTGCCACCTACAAAGAGAAAGAAGCCTCAAACAAAGCCAGCCCTGTCCTGGATCGGAGCCCAGGGCTCTTCATTCTCCAAATAGACGGAGGACCAATTCTGTCTCTTCCAAAGCTTCCACAAACACCAAAGAAATAAGTTGGCTGCGACCTGAGCAGTCCGACCCGGTCGACCGGCCCGACCAGTGTCCGACCGATGTTCGATTCGGCCGAAGCCGAGGCGACCGGTCTGACGTAAGGAATCGATACACGCCCAAACATGTTCGGATCCAAGTCAGTGATGTCTAAACCAGTGATTTCTAGGTGAAAACCATGCCAAATCCCACCCAGCGAGTCAATTGCTCACGACGAGTCAACCAGCTGAAGAAATCACACATGTCGGTGTAACAAAACGACCATCCTTGGGATCTTCATTGACCGACATCTTCACAGGTCAGCAGAACCTTTGGTTCCGGTAACCATTGACCGTACCTGACCACTTGAGGTCAGCTAACTTTTTGGGGGCTTGGGGCTGGCGAACTCTATTCTGAAACGATTTGTTTACTTCAACCTCTCACTTGCCCCTAGATTCAGTCTATCAGCAACAGGACCAATCAGGTCCCCCAACAAATCCGGGAAGCTCCTCGAGCTCATTCTCATCTGCTCTTCAGCAGTGCGGTGCATCTCCGACAGACATTGGATGTTTTGGAGGTTGGTTTTTCCATGCTCTGTGATGGAGGCAAGAGGATTCCAGAATCCAATCTCATCCCAAATGCCATATTTACCAAACTAAACATTTGGCCAAGTTTTTTTGCCAGACTCAAAAAGCGCTGGTAAGCTAGCACGCAAAGGCTATTGACCCTTAAAAGATCTTAAAACATCCCCGACATGTTTTGTTTTCCACTTGTGAATGTTTTTTGCCATCCAAGTGGCCCAGCAGCTGAACATGAAGATGCCTATGGCGTAGTCATAGAACTCCAATGTATTCAAATCCCACGGATATCTGATGCAGTGCTGCCTTACGGACACATTATTGAAGTATGAGATCATATGAAAACTGCCATTTCTTTTTCCAATGTTTTCTTGGAAAACAACCAAGATTTTAAGCGTCCAAAAAAACCTTCGACACGTCGAAGCTGCTGTTCGTCTTCACCTGCGCGACTCCAAACTGCAAAGGCCATGGTTTGCAAACAAATAAGGATCAAAAACCTGAGTCGCACCGGAGCAAAGCATATCAAACACCACCGTCTTGCATCACTTTGCAATGGATGTCAATTTTTTGTTGGCTAAAAGTTAGATCTCCCTTGATCCAGACTGAAGAGATAGGAACATGGCCCAATGGCCCAGTGAACTGACGTCAATACACTCAGATGTTGCAGAAAGTCCGACGTCAATGCACTCAGCATATACAAACGGCGAAAAACCGCTGCCTGTGATGTTATTCCAACAGAAAAACGGAGGATGAAAGAGGTTGGGTGACATTATAGGATCCTACTGGGATATTTTATAGGGTCCTTCAACCTCTGTTGGAAAGGTCTGGTTGGAACGCCAAAGTGACATATAATATATGCAAAAAACGTATACAAACAAAATCAAACAAACGCAAAAACATGCAAAAACCGTGATATTATATATATATAAATACATTCCAAAAAAACAACATAAAACGGTCTAGTTGTTTGTCGCCAGCAAGTCACATACATGCAAACATGATGTACCAATCCGCCGCCGTCAAATATTCCTTGCGGGGCAAGATCTCATTGATGATGTAGCGGTAGGAGAGCACGGCCAAAAAACATGTACTCACCTGTCAACATCAAGTGAGACGAGCCACGCGTCAATGTTTAATACAGTTTAACCATATTAGTGCACTCAATTGATCAGTTTGTGATAGGTTCTGAAAACAAAAAATCAGCAAAAGTGAGCTGTCGTAGGAAAATCCTCTAACAGCACCCGGGCCTCCTTCACTTTGTGATCTCAACATATCACAAGAACAAACAAACATCACAAAGTGAGGGCGGCTTTTTGCTGGAGCAGGGGGTCGGTCGGTGGACAAGATTCCAAGTTGTTTCCCCGCATGAAACCCGTCAGTCCAAATATTCATGCACCAGCCAAGCAACACTTTAGCTGGAAAATTTGTGAAGAATGGTAAAAAACGGCTGAATTTCAAGCCAGCTGAGTATCGAGCTAGTTGAGCAGTGAATGACCGTAGCAATGAGCGTTGAGATGAGACATACTAGCTTGAACAGGCTAGGTGCTGGGTCAGTGTTGAGCTAGCTGGATGGATAGAATTTGTCTTGCGCTTGGCCAGCTGTTGTTCTAACCTGATCACGTGGTGGTGGTGGTGGTGGTGGTTGTGCTCTGCTGTTGGTCTTCGTCTCACAGTCTTGTTTTTGTAGTGAGTCAGCCGAGTGTTGAAACAGCTGAGCACTGTGATTCATATTTTCAGCTTAGCCTTGAGCTGGATGCAATGAAGTGATGAACTGGATATCGTGAAGGATTGGCTTTGCTTAGTAAGAAAGAGGGTATGTACAATCCGAATCACTGTTCACAGCGGCCACTCAGCCACTCGATCCTGAGCGGCCACTCAGCCACTCAAAATCCTGAGTGACAGGGAGAAAAACCTTAGTGGCTGACAGGAAGAACTGTCTGAGGTGCTGGTGGCTGAGTGGCTGACAGGAAGAAAAGCATGAGTGGCTGAGTGGCTGGTGCGGAGTAGTGTAGTAGAAGTAGTAATGGTGGTAGCACTCGTCGTCTTTGTAGTCGCAACGGTAGTAGTACTAGTCGTCATCGTCGTCGTCAGCCTGAGTGGATGAGTGGCTGGCACTGGCACTGGCACCGTGAGGTAGTCGTCGTCGTCAGCGGCAAGGACCGGTCTGAGTGTTTATTAAGGTTTTGGAATTTCCAGGATTTGATCGTTCCCGTGGGGTGCGCCTGTTGCAAGCACAACCTGCGGGCTTGATCAATTCATTTGGCGTTTTCGAGGTCATGGGACCTTTCTTGAAGGTGGCAGTAGCAGTAGCAGTAGTAGTACTAGTAGTCGTAGTAGCCGTAGTCAAAGCAGCAGCAGCAGCAGCAGCAGCAGCAGGCGTCGTCGTCGTCGTCGTCGTCGTCGCCGTAGTAGTAGTAGTAGTAGTAGTCGTAGTGGTAGTGGTAGTGGTAGTGGTAGTGGTAGTGGTAGTGGTAGTAGTAGTAGTAGTGGTAGTGGTGGTGGTGGTGGTGGTGGTGGTGGTAGTGTAGTGGTAGTAGTTCTGGTAGTAGAAGTAGCAGTAGTAGTGGTAGTGGTGGTGGTGGTGGTAGTAGTCGTAGTGGTAGTGGTAGTGGTAGTGGTAGTAGTAGTAGTAGTCGTCGTCGTAGTGGTGGTAGTAGTAGTAAGGGTAGTAGTAGTAGTAGTAGTAGTCGTGGTGGTGGCGGTGGTAGTGGCAATGGTAGTGGTAGTGGTGGTGGTGGTAGTAGTGGTAGTAGTAGTGGTGGTGGTGGTAGTAGTAGTAGTGCTAGGAGTAGGAGTAGGAGTAGGGGTAGGCGTAGTAGTGGTAGTGGTAGCGGTAGTCGTAGTGGTAGTAGTCGTCGTCGTCGTGGTGTCGTAGTGGTAGTGGTAGTCGTAGTAGTAGTAGTAGTAGTAGTAGTCGTCGTAGTGGTAGTGGTAGTGGTAGTGGCAGTGGCAGTGGCAGTGGTAGTGGTGGTAGTAGAAATAGAAGTAGTAGTAGTAGTAGTAGTAGCAGTAGTGCTACTAATACTACTTTATATATCATGACTACTCCACACCAGCCACTCCACCGCTCGGCCGCTCGGGACTTTCTTCCTGTCAGGCACTGAGCCACTCAGACTTTTTTTCCTGTCAGCGACTCAGCCACTCAGACTTTTCTTCCTGTCAGCCACTCAGCCACTCAGACTTTTCTTCCTGTCAGCCACTCGCCCACTTAGGCTTTTCGTCCTGTCATCCACTCAGCCACTCAGACTTTCTTCCTGAGGCTTTTCTTCTGTCAGCCACTCACTCACTCAGGCTTTTCTTCCTGTCAGCCACTCAGGATCTTGAGTGGCTGAGTGGCTGATCGGCTGATCGGAAGAAAATCCGCATTTCCACCACGTACAATCGAAATTACTTGGTGAGTTAAGATCAAATCCTAGCAACGCGTGGAACATTTTCAAGGGTCGGCCATGTTCTAGACCAGACCACCGGTCTACTCGACAGGGTCCTGTTGACTCGTCCTTATCGCTGTTCGACAACTCGACGACTCCCGAGTGACGACCGAGCCAAGCTCTTTTGCATCAATAAGCCATATTGGGTTACTCCGGGGAGTCTGAGCAGCTACCTCATCTATGGATCTCTGATGATCTCTGACTCGGTTTTTAGATGTTTCTAGATCACGAATGGTCACCGCTTCGGTCGACCTGATTCGGTCCGCTTCCTGTTTCTCTGACGGTGCGCTCGTTTGCTGCGCCCAAGTTGCTAAGCTTAAGCGATCACCAACTGAATCCAGTGGAATTGAAAAAGCACCACAACCCATCACGTTCATCTAAATTCGCAAGAGAGTTTCGATGGAGGCCATGAACCAACAATTTTCACTTCAAATGGAGAACAAAAGTAATATCACTCGAAACGTCTGTCTGTATTGGATACATTCTATTCACTTCAAACAAGAATTGTATACATACACAACTTCTCTCTGCTTGGGGCTACACATGACTCCAGCAGGTGCAACCGGCGATGCTTCCGTTTGAGAACGGTACTGGGAGGTCTGGGAGTGTGAAGAAGGCAAACATGAGCAACCTGACCGCACAAATCTACAGATATTCAGTGAGCTCCCATATGCTCCCATATTGGGTCACCCTCTACGGTCCAATCAGCTCATTCTGCTTTGGCGTTCTGCTGGGATGACCCTAAGAGGACAGTTGTGGCTAGTGTGTGTGTGTGTGCAGCTTTTTTGGTGTCCAGTTGCTGCGGAGGCACTAGGAAGACCAGAATCAAGATGTTGTTGAAGTAATAGTCACCCTTTCGGTCCAGATGAAAAAGCACGTTCACCATAGATCTTTGCTTTGGAAACGGACACTCATGGTCGCAATAGCGAACATAGGCAATGGCAGGAATCTTCTCACCGCTTTTGTCCTGGGCCGGTGAGCTGTTTGGCGCCCCCTGTGGCATGCACTTAGAACATCCAGCGATAACATATACATTGGGTCCATCCGAGTCTAGCAGTAACAGTGGATGATGATGGCCGTTCCATCTCTAAACTAGTGATTTGCTTGTTTACTGACTGTTACACGTTGACTTGGACAGACCCAACATATAACCTGTTTCCTCAAGATGCCTCGGATCTGCTTCCTCAAGATTGTTTTGGTGCTTTGAATAATTTGATGAACAATCATAGATCGGAATCAACATTTCTTCACCCTTAATAACAGACTCATCGAAACCGTTCAAACGTAGCAAATTAAAAAGGGTCAAACAACTCAAAAGAAAAAAAACACACATCTGATGTGACCCTCTTAAGCTTGATGTTGCGTTCGCTTTTGGGGTTCCACCCGTGTCGGTCGACCTGTGGTCGACCGGGGTGACCGGTGGCCACGGCGGAGAGCTGGGCGTCCTTGGCGACCTCAAAGGTCCCAATACATCGAGAGGGATGATGAGGCTTGTCTTTCTTGCGAATCACAAACTGGAACTCCTAGCCGGAAGGTTGGAGTGCGTCAGGCAGGCGATGGCAGTGGCGTGCTTCACTGTGGCAGGGTGATTGGATGTGATTGGAGTGATGAGCGTGCGTTTGAGTGGATGTTGTGGGGAAAATATGCATGTGTGATGTGGGCAGAAATGCAAACAGTCCACTGGGCAAATGTGTTGGGAAAAAACCGTGGTGTTTGCAGATGTGATCCAAAGCAGGAGTTTTCAGGACGAGACTTGATTGGAGAATCTAGGACTTTGGATTGTTGCAGGTTCTTTCATGGTCTTTCTATATACCCATGCAATAGATTTACGTTGCTGGAATGTACCACTTGGATCAACTAGCACGGCAGCTTCTAGTCAAAGAGAGAATCGGAAATTCAGCCAGTGTCCAAAAGCCTTTGAGTGCAGGGACAAGGTGCATGCCAAGGTGATGGGCCCAAGTGACAGCTGCGTGTGTCGCGTGTGTCGTGCAAGTCGTTTTGCTTCACACATCATCAAGCACGCAGCTGGCGTATGAACCTCGTGGACAACGATGAGACTGATAGTGGTAACCAATATCCGAGATGCGTATTGTTGTTTCTCTCACGTGAGAACGTGGAAACCAAACACATCAAAACTCAGTCCTCAATGGGACTCTCAGCAATGAGCTTGATACGGCAGAGTTGGCGGTCCAAGGGAAAGTGGTGCAACTCCAAGTGTTCCGAAAAGCTTGCCTCGATCTTCTTGCGATATGAGACCTCATGCGACATGAACGACATGCGTCGTTTGGGCCGTGTGACACCGTGACGAGCAGAAACACGTAGGCAGCCTGCCTCAGCTTTCTCCTTTCTCAGCTCGGCGAAAACATGACCGCCTTCTAGGTGGGTACACTGATAGGATAGGTATATAGACTGGTCGCTTTCAGAATCTATAAAACAACGAAACCACACGCAAGACACGTCACCCCACGACGCACCGAACCGGCAAAACTCGCCGGATCGTCCACACAGCTTCGAGACTCGAAACCATTCGAGTCTCGAAGAATGCAGCTGACTGCGTCAGTCTGCTGGTTGCCAGTGTCTGACTTTGAAAGAAACACTTGTTTTCCAAGAAAAAGTCGTCGAATCTCTTTGCAATGAGCAGTTGGTTTCTCATGTTTTTATCAGATCTTCCATCGCTCCCTGCATCGCTCATCGCTCCCGCTCCATGCATCGCTCCTCGGCTCGCTCGTTCGGTGAAAGGAGCAAAGGTTCCCCGTTCGTCCATCCAGACCACCTCGTAGACGGGCTGGCAGTGATCCGTACACTCTCCTGTCGTCCGGGTCATCGTCTTGTGGCAAAGACATCAAAAAACTACGACCTTCACAAGTGTGGGGGCTTCCAGCCAGGTGACCCTTTGGAAGGTGCTGGTAGGTTGGTAGAGACATAGGAACATGAGGAAGGGAAATGACTTGCCTGAAAGTTTTTTGGGTCAGTTGATGGAGAGTTGTTGGAAGTTGGAAGTTGAAACCGATGTTTTAATGCTATAAAATTCTTACAAGCTGACATATTCCCAGGTCATGATCATTCTCAGCTTGGACTTCACCCAAGTGGGTGATGAGGCTTGAAGGAACCGTGGCGAAAGAAAGGAGCCAAATGGTTGACATGAATTGCCCTAGGGCTCCAAACATATCCTCAGAAGGTGGTTAATTTAGACCCCCAAACCCACCCGGCCCAACCATCTTCTCAGGAGTCAGTTGGAGCCCTAAAGTAGGGTTGATACAGCATTGGACCCTGCGGCACGAGGACGACGTCACCAGAATCGATTCAATGATCAGGGTTCTCCAGTCGCGCCTTGGCTTGCAGTCCTTTACGCACTTTACTTCAAGTGATCCCCCACCATGGCATTATGCTCTGCTCCCTAAACCGGGGGCTATATTGCTAACAACCCTCACCTGGCAGGTGGAGAAAAAAGGAAGGTGCCCGGCGCCCGGCGCCCATCTCATTCGTGGGATCGAGAACTGACACACAAACACAGTCTGACACACGTTACCAGTGAACCTAGCGGCCGGACGAATCACTCCTTGAATGTTGGCAAAGGTGTGGACGGGGAAAAAGTGCTTGCTCCAATCAATCTCCTGGATCGTTTTTCGAATGTACTCACCTCGGGCCACAGGCGGCCACTTTTGCAGTCTCCTTTTTTGGCCACAGGCGTCCCGAAAACGACACGTGAACAAACAGATTCCACTTCGCAAGTTCGGTCAGGCCGTAGACTACTTCCGAAGACACGGCCGTCTCTGCACCGGCATTCACCTGCATCCTGGAACATTTGGACGTGGGAACCGTTGATGGTTTCACGTGTGAGCACAGGTCAACACTGGCTTCAGGATGGTTATTCCAGGCTGATGTGCCAACTATCATCGCGGAGGGAGGTTGAGGACTTCCACTACATCTGGAAGCCGAGATGTTCTTATCTGATTTGATGCTGGCAGTCCTGCTTCAATCCGAGCTTACCCAATACTCTCACCCGACAGGTATTCCCCGCCAGACGGACCTTTTTCCCACCAACCAAGCCACTTCTTTTGATGCTTCGGGTGTGGGCTGCGTCGCCATTGTCACCTCAGTGCCGCGACGGCGGAGGCGTGGATCCCGGTCCGTTCCACGGTCGGTTCCGTTTCGGTCGGTCGATAGACAGAGAGGACATCATCAAGATGACCGAAAACGGTGTTCAATTGAATTGCAGGGCCTGGTCTTTTAACGCATGTTCTTGTTTTGCTGCTTGTGCACTGTGCATGTGGCAGCGTGAAGAGTCCTTTGGTTGAAGCCTATGTTCCTGCTGTTTTCTTAGAAAAACCACCTGGAAAGTAGTGTCTTTCCATCTCTTTCCAAACATCCGGACGGGCCAAATGGCGTTGCTTCCAAATTGGAGTCAAACCAACCGGATGCAAAACATCCGAAAAACATAAAAACAAAACACATGTCTTGCCGGTCGAAAAACGGGTGACAGGACATTGTGCGGTCTTTCATGATTCACTCCCGGACAAGGTCCCATGGGTTGACCATGGTTGACGACCCGTGTCGACTTGGGCACGTTTGACCCGTAGTGAGACCCTCCGCAACTTACAACAACCTCTCACGTACCCGACCGAACGTACCTGAATTGAACCCGACTTTCAGCTCGCACGACTCCCTTCGACGTCGACTTCTTTCGCGAGGAAGGAGCGTTTCTTTGGCGAGGTCTTTCTTTGGCGTTTCCCCAATAAAGGACCCAACAAAGGGTGCCTATCAACCTCTCATGATGACCAGCCCATCGTGGGCAGAGACCGATGTGGCTGGTCGTTGGCGCCCGCTCGGGTGGCCTCAGACGGTTTGATCTGGAGCAGCCTGTCTGCAGCTCTCCTGGCCTCTCGGCCCCCCCCAAAGCTGAGCAAGTTCGAATCAAAGGGCACAGCAACTCGAGATCTCCAGTCTCCGATAGCTTTGAGATCAGTCCAGTAATCTTAACGATCTCTCCCCTCTCCTCCATGTATACAGTGCACTCGAGATTCCTTGGTGAAACCGTGGCACAAGGACCAAACATGTCTCAAAAAGAAGAAGTGAACAAGTGGATCGTCTCGATCTGCCTGCGCCTTGGCCAAGGTTCTTGAGAAAAGGATCGATCCACCAGAACTTGAGCACCATCAATACTTTGAACCTCAATGTGTTGTCCGTCCATCGTCCATACGGATCGGGATGTGTGGATGTGTTTTAGTTTTTTCCCCTGGAATCCGACCATAAAATCTCTTTATATAGGGTTGAAAGGGAGGTTATTCCTCTATTTCTGGGCGTATTTGTGAGCGTAAAAGCAAAACATAGAGTAAAAGACATGTAAAACACAATAACATTGCCAGCTGCCTAATTACACATCTACCAATTTGTGACCGTCCAGAAGCTCTTCTTTCTCATCATCGATCGATTTGATCTCGTGAGGATTGATCTCCACGAAGACTTTGATGGCGTGTCTACAATCCACCAGCCTCCTCGAGCGAGCACAAACAACAAAGAAAGGAAGAAACACACCTAGCGCATCCAATGGGTGTCCAATGGACTACCCCATACTGCTTAGTGCATTGGGGATAGATAAAACTCTTTCAAATCACCACTCAGAAAAATCATTTCTCTCATCCCCCTCCCTTCTCGTCTCCTCTTCTGTGTCGTGCTGTATTGGTAGTACTCTCTCAGGACGGAGCTGTTCCTCGTGGCCCAACGGACGGCGACACACTTCGAAAATCACTTCCCCTAGGGCTCCAACTACTTCCCCTAGGGGCCTAGGGCTGGGGTAGCCTGGGCCGTGTGGTCTCCCACATCACCTTCGTTCTTCCAAACCGTGGCCTTCCGGCCGGGCCATCCACTCCCCGACAGGTCCAGTCAAAGCAGTCCCACCATGACTCGAGTCTCTAGACTGATACCCAGACACGACTAATGGGACTGGAATAGACCTATCATTGACCCCCAGTCAAGCACTTTTGGCCGTTTCTCGGCAGTCCTATGCCAGTCCCAGACAGGTCGTGTCTGGGATAGAGGGATGACCTCTGACTCATGAGCGCTCATGAGTTCATTGGATCGAAAGGCCAAGGGGTGCAGAACTTCTGGTCTTCGAGTGGACGCCTATCTGAACCCCACGGTCGACCGAGTGGATTCTTCCGAGACGCCGAATGAAAAGCCGATGGGAGGACTCAGGCAGCCAAAAAGGCATGCCCTTAGACCCTTAGACGGCATGCTTGGAAGGAATGCTTGGCTGTTCAGTCCGAAACGGGTCAAAGATCATTCCCGAATGTTCCATATTGCTAAACTCTGCACCATTTGACATCTGAGCCATGTTTAGTGGCAATTCTGAATATTCAAATCCCAAAAGGAATTCCACATGAACTAAACTCTACCATATTCTGATCCCGGGTCCCATCTGCGACGGACGGTGAGCCGGGCCCATTCAACGCACCGCGGGTCCCATCCTGCGCTGGATTCGTCCGAGCATCTCATAGCCCGGTGGTCTCAATTCCAAATATCGATATCCCTCGGTCGAGAACGTCGAACGGAATGGGCAACGTCTTCATTTCGTCCGGGAGAAGTCTTCGTGTTCTCCGGTTCTCCGGGAGAAGTTCGTTGGGAGCAGTTCATCATTCGATGCCATTCGATGCCCTAAAACCATCATAGAACCTATTCTCGCCTGCCTGTGACCTCGACTTCGACTCGATCGACTCGGTCACCGTCGATCGACTCGTTGACCGACCCATCGAGTTGCCACGTGAGAGGCCAGGTTGCCATGAGAGGCTGCAGCTGTGGAGCGAGGCCCACCACCTCGCGGCAGCTGCAGGGCTTGTCCTTGTCCTGGCAAAGAACAGCTAGCTCTCATTATGTCCTGATGAAGAAATAATCCCGAGTACCTATTTAAAAACGGACCCCAATTAAAAAAAAGTCATGTCCGAACCCCTAAATTCGGTTTATATTTGGTTTTAAATTGCCGCCCTTTCAAGCCGCTACTAAACTACCAACATGGTCGATTTTGGGGGTAGTTTTTTTTATTAGGTTCCCCAAAACTCCACCATGACACGCCGCGCTTACACCAGCAGGCTTTCCTTCCCTCAATGGCACGGACTCACGCAAACGCACTTGCCACCGAGGTCATGCAACACCGCATGGCACAGCGACATCACCTTTCGAAAGCTTTAGCTGTTAGTCTACTGAAGAATCACTATTCTAATGAAGGTTTTTGTAGGGGAAAAGGAAGACCCTTCGATCTGGCGGTTTTTTGCATTTTTGATACGAGTTTAATAAAGGATTTTATATAAAATTTTCCTGGATTACTTTTTGGTTTTGAAACTCTTTCCAAGTGACACTATTTTGCCCCCCCCCCCGATTTCAGGGACCCCCTATTAGAAAAAATGCGACCGAGGTTTTTTTAATGGGGGGGGGGCCGTGTTTATTATTAGGGGGACGGGATTAGTTGAAACCCCAAAAAGCAAACCTCATGAACATCTGGAACAAAAAAGGGGAGGCAACAGGAAAATAAAACACAATTGTATTCTATTCATTACTATTCAGCTTGACATTTCTAGTAGCTATTGGCTCAATATATTGTACAACCGTGAACCAATATATTTGGTTCGTCACCATGTCATGTTTCTTGAATCTTCTCTAAACATTAAGCACTTCAACAGCTTTGCACGTCTTTTCGGTGACTACCGTGGGAAGAATCGGAGATTGGAGGTTTGGGCATCCGAAACTGCATGAACCTGCCATGAGAGGCTCGGCCGCGGTGGAGACTGGATCCCGCCAGTCTTAAACATGCCAAGGATCTGACAACGGAAGGCACCATGGATCCGCACCCATGGCAGCGGAAAAATGGGCAGGCGTTGCTGCCAGTACTACCCAGTACCCAGTTGCTGGTGGCGATTGGATGGTCAACACTATGGATTTTCCGGGTCTATCAGTGCTGCTGCATTCTTTCGGCGGTCGCACTGGTGTGGGTTCTCTCGCGAACGGGGTCCGGACCGGAGGAATCGACGCAAACTGCTGTGGCTATCTGGAGAATATCTTCTCTCTTGAACCCGAACGCTTGCTGTTCTCCCAAACTGGTCTACGCTGAGTGGAAAAATGGCTGAACACGATCTGTCTGCGTTGCCCAGCCGTTGCCAAAGCGAACACAGCTTGATGCATGCTCAAGGGCTTAGTTGTCATAGCTCAAAGGCCAGTAAAATAAAAGGTTAACCTGCATGGGTTGAAGTCTACGATCCTAGGGGCAGAACAAGAAAGTCTTGGGCCCCATGACAGGTACATTCTGCACCACCCCAGTCCAAACAAAGTTATGCCGTTACCTGCTGTCCAAACCTGTGGCTGTCTAGAGGTAGCCGCTGTCCCGCAGGGACAGATGCTGACCCCGTCAACGTCACCAACCGTACGTACCTTCCGGGTACGATACGTGATCTTTTGCCAAAGCAAGGCCTAGTTATAAAGCTTCAACATATATTGGCTCGAAGTTAATCACATATATATATATCAGTATAATATACTGTATTGGTAACCATTGGTTTAATCTATATAGTAAATTCATGTAAATCAAGTATAGCATTCGCTGAGTCGAGCCACTAGAGTAAACCCCAATGTATTTTAAGTCCTGGCACGACACACCTTCTATGCCAGTGTTTCTCCCGCTACTTGACAGGATTCGAAGCAATTGAGAAGAAACAATGTCACCCAGATTGGCATTCAACATGAACTGCATATGAACCATGGCTCATATAGAAATCTATGTATTGCCTTCTTTGAAGTACAAACAACATCGCACTCTGATTCCATGACAAAGGACAATCGTTCAGTATCTGCGAGCGTTGAGCACGAAACAACACACACAAACAGAGTCACCCAATGTGCACATGATTTCAATGAAATGGCTTTTCACACATTTCTTGATTGTCAACTCAAACGCATCTCTTTTTTCTCCATCCAGCTTTGGGATATTCAGGCCCACAATCAATGTGACATTTCTCGCCGAAGCTCCAGGATTCCCAAGTTTCCCAGCTTCAGGTTTCGATGGTTTCGACAGAAACCAGTGAAAGCAAAAGCAAATCATCCATGATGCAAGGCAGGAATGGTTACAGCTGTAGCCAAACGTTTGTGCTTGTGCTTGCCATCGTTTCCAATACCAGAAGGAGCATGGTCTTATCTGTCAAGTTGCATCTCTCAATATTCCAGACCCATTCTCTGCAGAAAAAGTTCACGGCAATCCGATTTGCAAGCAAACACCAGCTTCTTCCCGCGGGTATTGCCTGCGTGATCCCCATGGGCGCGGGTGGTGCGCCGGAACTCACCCTCTCAACACGGTGCTTCAGGTGACCATCCGCAAGGGATCCTCAACTCCCTGCGCGTCATCGAGCCACACCTCGGCAGATTCCACCGTGTTTTCGTGTTTCGGTCGCATAGCTTGGAGCTTGCTTGGGGAGCCAAGGAGTCCAGGAGCCGGACATGAAAAGACTCCTCGGTTTCAGGGTTTCACCATGGTGAAACCCCATGGTTCAACCACTAAGAATGACCCTCATCAAAACCTGGCAAGGGTTGATCAGCTGAAGAGGTCGAAAGACCGGTGAAAGCACACAACAGCCGTGTAACATCTAGGCAACATCGCCTTCTCAAGTGCATCAGGAAGAAACATTCTCTTTATGGCAAACTTTTTAGCATCGCCGCGCGCACAACGCAACGCGTGCCCGAGATCACGCAACGCGTTTTTGGGGAGGGGTTTGCGAATTTAGACTTCCATTGGAGATGACACGAAGCATGTGGTGAGCATGTCTCAAAGTACCAATCACAAATGCTCCATGAACCTGGCGGATTTATCCATCATTTCATTGCGTGGTTGTTTCAGAGTCGATGGATTCCATTCATCGTGCTGGGGTATCAAATGCCCACAGGGTTCCAAGGCCTGCCACCGGCCCCAGCTCGCCCGACGAACAGCGGCTCGGCTCGCGAGCTGAATTTCGGCTCCGGCACTTCTGAAAAATGCCCCATAAGGTCCTGTAGATGCTGTGACCTAAGTCGATTGCGAGGTTCGGCCAAGATCAGGCAAGCTTCAAAGTTCTGAAAAAACATGACCCAGAAAGGGCTTTCAGATGCTTTCATCGGCAGATTGGGGTTTTGCAGGCTTTGCAAAGCAAGACAGACCGTTTTTTCGGTAAATATTGGGAAAAAACAGGTTGGTTGTGAGGGCTTATGAACATTCGCTTCTCTGGTCATCCCAAACACTTTGGACCTGAAGGTTCAGTTAGAAGATCATCCCGTCAATGGCTGATGGAGCTGCCGAGGCATCACTGGGAGCCCCAGCACGTCAAAGCCTGGGCGCAAGGAATCTCGGAGTCTCACCCTTGAAAGTCTTACGTATGTTCAGGGTTCGTCACCAAGGATTCCAAACATTTCCAGACGGAGAAGTTGGTTTATTTTGAGGTATGTTCTGACCACGGAAGGATGTCCAAGCTGTATAAAGATCTAGATGCACTATGACCACTTCGTGGCCGCTTCTATGACCACCTCTTTTTCTGTTGCTTTGTTGGGAGAGGTAGCTGCGCCGGCCGGTGTGAGGTGCGGGCGCGGCCGTCGCAGGGAGCATTGAGAGTGTTCCCAATCTGCACATCGATCTTCCTGGAGCGGCGACGTGGGGCGTTCGGCACACCAGGAGGTTGAGGAGGTTGAGGGCCGGGGGGAGGCCTGGGGGGTGTCCCGGAACAGGTTCGGGGAATCTGGCTGGAAGAAATTGAAGAAGACCGTTGTAATTTGATGTCGCGAAAAGCACCACCCTAACAAGTTCTTTGCAAAAGAGGTACAGGGGATCACAAACCAGCTATCCACTTTCGGCACTAACTTGAGCGCACACTTCTCTAAGTCTATACCTGATAAGCTCCACTCAGCCTTGTCAAAATGGGCAGTTCCGTCTGGACCATCTCTCCGACGAGTCTCACAAGCTTTGCATCAGAACCTTTGATCAAATAAATTGATCAAAGTTATCCGGTGAAGGAAGATCTTCGAGAGAAAGCACCTGAAAAGGGTGTGTGGTGGTTGGGCACTAAAACACAAAACACAACACCCCCCCCCAAAAAAAGTGGAATGTCTCAGGGCTTTTCCCAGAAATCATCTCTACTCCCTTAGGCATCACCACATCCGGAACACCCCTTCTTCACCACTGATCCGTCCTCCTCCGTCCCCTCACCCGAGCCCAACTCCGCTCGACTCCGCTCGGCTCGGCTCGAACCAATCCGCCACGCGGCACGCGCCGAGGCACGAGATCACGTCGTTGTTGGGTTCCACCGTCAGCGTGGCCAACTCGTTGCCCAGCTCGCTGATGCCTCGTTCGCCCAGCTCGGTGGTCTCGAGACCCGAAGGGCGTGGTCGAAGCCGAAGAAAGCCGAGGCTCGAACGATCCAAGTCGAAGAGCCGAATGTGGCTACCGCTTGACGGAACAGTGGAGATGAAAGATTTGTGTAACAAAGGGTCAACGGTTAACTTGGAGGGTCTATAGTGTCTATACTGTTACTTCGGAAGAAACCATGAGCAATTGCTGAGGTCACAGGGACGTCGTCTATTGGAGATTCCACACCGAGTTTTGTTGCAAAAATTACTTGGATACACTCCATACCCTAGGGCTCCAAGTACCTCCTCAGAAGGTATCTGGACCCTCTGAAACCACCCCAGTCCCACCTTCGAAATGCAGCTACGACTGGAGCCCTAGGGATAAGCATTCGGTGAACAAACACACCATGTTGGAGGACGGAATCCGTTGCGTCCGTCCCTCGGTGGGAGACTCTGATGACTGATGACCCAGCTGGTCGCACCATCGTCAGAAGTCACGTGAGTCCATTTTTCTTTCTGGAGAAGTAAGTACATGGTCTCAACTTATCTCAACTTCTCAGAAGTTGGGCAATCTCCACTGTCATGAACTTCTGAAAACAATTAACACTTAAAACAACACACACACACACACAAAAACAAAAAACACACACAAACACAACACTTTCCCTCTGAACCACAAGGTCATTTCGCGCGGCCGTGCGGGTGAAGCCTGATGGGAAGAGCACCCGTGCTGCATGCTCAACACCTGGCAGAAGAAACGGATGAAGGCCACCCAAACTTTGTGGGGGCCCTGGCCCTTAAGCACCTGTTCCAGAAAGTTCCTCCTATTCCTTGACATTCAAGATTCTAGGCTGACTTAGGACCAGAATCCACACACCAGACTTCTGTCCTTCTTTCAGCATCTGAAGAGCTCCAAAGCTACTATCCTAAGTCCCAGCCCTCCCATTCGGATCCAAATCTTTGAATCCCTCCGCCACCAAAATCTTGGCCCAAATCCTTCAGATCCTTGATTTCCAACTCATGTGACCAATGTGACCTGAGGTGAGAACTCAGCTGACTCAGCTCGCTTCATCCCATTCGTTGAGCCCTACCCCGCCCGTGCATGCCATACCTGGAGCCGCAAAGGCGACCGTCAAAGGTTTGATTCTCCTAGGCGCCCCGCAGCGAAATGCGCTCAACTGTCAGCACGATGCCAAAGAATGTGTGAGGTCTAGCTACATCTTAGGCAGGACATCTTGAGCCAACAAATTCAAATCCTACCAAATTCCGCCAATTCAGGAGCCATACCTGAAAACATTAGCCATGCCATATTAGCATATGAGCCATATGATTGGCATGGCCTGGCCGGCAGGGCCCTGTGGCCCGATCGCCGAAGACGCCGAAAGACGCCCGAACTGGTTTTCCCCGATGACCCGCCAGCCGTTCCCCCCGGTTCACCATGAGCAGTGTTGGTTCGTCCGCGCTCCAGGAGTCACAGAGCCTCTGGTGCCGAACGAACGGAGGAAGGAGGTGCCCGGTGCCCCGAACCGCACATCCAGGAGCCCTGGATGGGACGAGCCACACCAGCCAACTCCATGTGACCCCTGGCTTGCTCACATTTGGATGCAAATCCCAGACACGACGAGTCTGGGACTGCCATACAAATGCCGATCAGGCCAGGGGTGGTGCCAGGGGGGTCAATGGGGCGACATATATGGTAGTCCCATGGAGTGTCTGGGAATGAATGGTTTGAACATCTTAGCATCACTAGCACCATCAATCCCACCAGGCACACGCAAGTTCGGTTCCCTGACAATTCAATTCTCGCTCACGCCAACCGCAGGACTGTCCACACGTGCTCCCAGGGCACGTCTTCAATTGCAACTCCTGGCGTGGTGACCGGTGGTTGATTCTACGCCTACGCTGGACCATAGAAACAAAGATGAGGCAGTGAGCATGCTCCTTTTTGCGATCTCTGCGCCTTTTTCGATTCCGGGCAGTGACTAAACAACCTCCACCTGGCAGATCCAAAGATCCTGGCAGGAACAACCTCTTGTGTCACCTTGCTCCTTTTCTTTATGCCAAAGATCCTGTTCCCCCCCCAGGCCCCAAACAACCTCCACCCATGGCGGCACATTAAAAGCGGCCCCATCACCGCGCCACAAGCTTGGCGATGCCGCCGCCCAGGGAGTGTCCGGTGAGGTAGTAGAGCCTCCCGCGGGGTGGAGCTCAAAAGAAACGTAGCATAAGTGGTGTGGGATGGACAAGTCTAGAGACAGTTCTCCAACACCACCTTGCCACTTTGCTTTCTATTTCTGGAAGATGCTCCTGGAGCCCTGGATTGGAGTCCGCTTCTCAGAATTGGTTTCATTACATCGACTTTACATCTTTTGCATAGTTCCACAGCCTGACCTTCCATGCGATTCGCAACCTTTGGGACCCAACACAATGCTCACATCCATGAAGGAACTCCCAGTGCCATAGTCCCTCCAACTGACAGGACCAATCAAGAGTGTCCTCACCTCTGTGATTTCTATGGATCCTTGCAATCAACGAAGCTCTCAGCCGTCGTCTTAACATTCTTTTTGTGGGGGTTTGCAGTGGGTGTTTCAAGGGTCATATGATCTTCGATGCCTAGGTTCATTGGAGGCACCCTTTGCTACACACAGGTGTGAAAATCAAAAACCCGAGGGTACTAGTTATGCAATACTGATTGAATTGATGCACACCTGTTCTTCGCAAAACAAATTACTAGAGTATTTTTTGAATGTTTGTTATTATTGAAACTTGATGCAACTTCTATCTGACAAGTGTGGTATCATGGTCGACTGGGCAACCTCAGCAAGAAATGGCCTATTGGGGTAGTGCTCCAGCATGTACTCGACCGCCAGAAAGACTGAGTCGTACGTGGTCTGCTTTCGGATCGGCGCCCTGAGTGAGGCCCACCGATCACAAGAAGAGCCACCATAAATTAGTCATGTCTGTGCCTTAAAAACCGACCAATTTTGAATGTTGGACTCGGCCTTGACTTTCATTCACTTTGAAAGACGAACAACCGAACAATTATGGCAAGAAAAAACATACCTCGTGGACAATCTTCTACCACGAGTCTCGGGTTCACATACCCTCAAACCGGGTCCGACTTGCCCCCCATTCAATTCTACGATTCGCCCTTTCTTGTTACCAACTCATCGGCGAAACAAATATATCAACGTGAGGCAAATGTGGCAACTGAACATTGCCCGCGAAAACCGTTGACGAAGAAATCCAAACAATCCCAACACAGGGCATCATGGCCAAGGTGAAGACTTTCGCAGTCAAGGGGCAAAGGGATCAGCTGTGAAAGCCTGGCGGCACTCTGTATGAATGTTTGGACACGAAAGGTCTTGAGATTCTGAGCCTTTTCACAAAAATTATTGCCGCGATGTGAAGGATTGCGCAGTCTTTTTGGAATCCCTGCGTGATTCTTTTTCAAGGTTAAGCATCCATGCCCTCAATCGCTGCAACACAACTTTCCTTCATGGCATAATTAAATGCGAGAGAAAGGATAGCAAGTGCACACTAAAGCCTCCACATTGCCAAACAACGGGTCTTTGAGGATGTTGCTCCTGCTACTTGCCGTTGACAACTCCATGTTGAGTGAACAGCACCTGCTGTCTGAGCCCACCAACTACTTTCAGCACGTTAAGAGGCGTTCTAGGCCTTGAGCATGAGAACTGCCACCAAAACGCACAAAACCAAACTATCAAAGCATTACCGCACTTCTCACTGAGTACAGTTGCTGCGGAATTGAGTCGTCTTTATGAGAAGTTGGCCGTCGCACGCTGGCAAGCTCCTTACAGCTGCTAGCTGGCCCTTCGCCCTTCGCAGAACGAGGGCAAACATGCAGCTGAATGAGGTGAGAATTCACTACACTGGCTTCCTAACAATGTTTGGATGTGGGCAGCGATGCAGGCGGACATGTGCCATCAGTTTATCCAGAGGCGCGAAGATGGTTGTTTACGAAAAAGCACATGTAGATGAAAGATGGCAACATTTGTAGCATGCCGCTGTAGAAGAGTCACGAGGTCGAAATAAGGAAGCAACGACTCAAGTTGATTCAATGACTCAATGAGGTGTGTTGCGCAGCTCTGGTGGCCTTCTACAACAAGTGTCAATATCAAATGAAAAATGCAGTGGATCAGGAACACGTGATAAAATAGGGCTTCAGCAAAAGGTTCTTTGGGGATATTTGAGGAGAAGACCAACAAATACATCAAATCGGCGGTCAAATTGGGCTAGAGTATGACTAGATTCCCTTCAGTTACCACTTTTCTCACCGGGAGTCATTACTATGACCATTGCGTTTTGATCATTCTCGAACTGGCAAGGATTGTTTGGACATTTTGGAACTGGTTGAATCGCTTCGTACTAATTTGGAGCTCTTCTAGTCCTCTCCCACATCAGGGGGCATGCAGTGCATCCCAAAAGTTAGGATCTTCACGTTTAGGGCGTCCACAGAATCTCACAGAATCTCACAGAATCCAAACCTTCTATGAATCCGCGTCCCTAGCTGTGAGGAAGACGAAGACCATCTACACCACGAAGACATAGCTCCATACTGGACGGTTGATACTAAGTAAATGCCTGTCGTGCTTTCGACGTCCGAGCGAAGCGACATGCGCTGAAAGGTCTGGAGTCCGGAGCGTCGGGGCCAACTGATATCGATCATCGATCCTCGATCGTCCGTTGTGTGGGGAAGCGCATTGCTTTGGTGGCGCCACATATAGCATCATATAGCCCCTCTTTCTTGCTCTAACCAACGCGCTGTGCAAAAAAAGAACACACACACGCTTCCGTGCTTCCCCGCCGCGCCACCGCGGGCGCCGGTTGGGGCGTTGGCTTTGCATCGTTCGGCGGCGGCACCTCGACATGGAGATGCCCCAAGAACCATCTGCGACATCCGGGCCAATGTAGTTGAATAACCTGGGCTCTTCCGCCGCGACATCGCGAGATGGTCTCGCCTATAGGGGCCCTCGTGGTGGTGACGAGCCTTCTCCGCCAGGAGAAGGTATATAGTTGATGTTGCCTTCTGAAGAACACTTATGACGTTTCGAGAATCTTCACTGATCGTGTGGAATGTCAGAAGGTGCTTCAACTTCGTGGCAAGAACCTTTGCTTCAACACACACGCACACAACAGCAATGTATCTTTCAGACGTTCCTCTTGCTTCCTGACTGTGACTGACTGTGACACTGTGAGTCACCCAAATCACCCTACACACGGATCCCCTCAATTCTGTCGGGGGAACTCATCCCGGAAATTCCAAAGGTTATAGATATGGTATGATATGGTTATAGCATGTTATAGCTAGCATCCTGAGCATCTGTCAATATAATTCGCATCTAAAAAAGCTCTCATAGCAAGGCTTCCTGGATCCTCCCACAACCCGAACCACAAAAAGACCACTCTCCCTCCGAACCAATTTCGTTACGCGTCACCTTCACACCTCCTCCAGGTGTGACCCTCCTCAAAAAACGGAGAACGAAATAACTTTTGCGCCTCCCAAAACACCCGGTGTCCAACAGAGGTTAAGTGACCTGTCTAAAAAGGTTCCGTAACCTGGGGTACCTATAGTCTAGTGTGGGTTCTGACCCACCTCTGCTGGAACCCCCCCGATTTGTTCGACGCTCAGCTCGACGCCGGTTCCTTCGACGCCCAGTCCCGGCCGCTGCAGCACCGCTGGCACCAACCAGAGGGTCACGTCATGCAACACGTCTAAGGCGGTCAACGTGCCCCGCACCGCAATCACGGTGGTGCCTCGGGAGAAAGAGACGGGTGGGACTACCGGTGGAATATATATGTGTATTTCAATAGAACCAGGAGTGACACTGGTTAGTTGGTTGATGTTGATTGGTTTGGTTTGGGTTGGGTTGGGTTGGTGTGAACTCGGACACCGGGACCAAGGCACCGTGGACGACTGGGACCCAACACGAACAACGGCCGCGAGCCGCAGTGCGGCATGCGACGGCCGACCCCAATGACCCGGTCTGGAAGACGAAAAAAGAACCACTGGGAACCAAATGTGGATCGAGATGCCAACCAAAAGGTTGAACAGCCCAGGGCCCAGCTAGCTGCTTGCCGAATCCTAGGTCAAGGTGTCAACCACTCACGACAGGGTCCTTTGGAAGGTCTCTCAATGTCTTCTAAGATGATTTATGAATGTTGGATGAACGATGATGAACGGATACATTTTGGACTCTGTCGGAGAGTAATTACTCCGGTTGTGCTTTCAGTTGGCGAGTTGGTCAGCCAAGTGTAGCCCTGAGTCAAACCATTAGTGTCTGTTAGCTTGTTATAAGATGTTATAAGTAGTCCAAAGGTAACTAGGCTCAGTACCTCAGCAGTGTCCAGTCTTGTCCGTGTCCAAACCCAAACACCTGAATTCTACATGGAATACATGTCTTCCCCCACCCAAAAAAACCGCTGCTTCGATGTAACTCTTCCCATACATACCTGCACCATCCGACCATCGGGATGCCCTGTCTGGTAGCCTAGTGGGGTAGTGGGGTAGCCCAGCTAGGACACCCCGATGGTCGGGATGGTGGTGCGAACGGGTATAGCCCGAACGGGCAACCCGAGCCGGATCGACCGACCTCTCGGTGCGAGAGATCCGGACCTCCCCGGTGTTCATCACCACTGCGGCATCTGAACACCACGCGTGCCCACGCGGTCTCAGTGGCTGTTGGTGTCTGAGGTGAACATCACGAAGCGAACCCAGTCCTCATCCAGGACGCCTCGAAGACAGGGGCCGTGAGACGTGTTTTGTCGTTTCTGGGCTGATGTGGTCGTGTTTGATGTTTTTGGTTTTGTCCTATATGAAAGGATGGATGAAAGGATCGACACCCCCCAAAGATCTTCGGCGTGTTTTTTTCATACGTATAAGTGCTGGAGCTTCTTGAAGTCTTGCAACATATACCGTAACTGTGACAAAACTATCGTACTATAGGAAAACGTTTCTTGGGATGTCGATGATGGCCTTCTCGGATGTCGTCGAACTTCTATGATCTTTTCAGCCATGTGTGCTTTCAATCCAACTAGGTTCATGTCCCTTTGACGTTGCAACATCTCTAAGGCATGCTGAATGTGGAAAAAATTGGTAGCGTTGGGGCACTTGACGACCAAATGTATGTAGTCAATGGAAAACAACTTTTCTTGAGCCCTCCAAAATAATCCACCAACACCCATCCATGGCGCTCGGTGGTCGTGGCTCCATGTGCCACTCGGGGAAGTAATGAGCGCAGCCCTCCGCCACGCGGTTCTGAGGCCTCTGCCGTGGACGAACGCGGCGCGTTGCAAAAACGCGGAGGTGACAGTGGATGACTGAGCTGTGAGGGATGAATTCTTCACAAGACAAAGAGTTGATAGATAGATAAGACAAATCTATATGGATCAATCCCAAGGAGTTTGTGTTTTCTGACCCAAGTGTTCATGTCTTTCCTGCTTGACCGAAAACAGGAAAGTACACCATCTCACTATATGTCGTGACTGTCTTCTCTTCTAAGCTGCTCGTAGGTCAAAGACGCCATCAGTCCAAAGTCCTGGGCCGTCTGGGGCGTTTCAAGGCGCAGTCGAAGGCAGGAAAGCGCCTTACACCGGCGGTGAAGGACACTTCTTCGTGCAAAGAAAAGGTCTCAAGCATCGAACTTTAAAAACTATCCCGGCAAGAGGCCCCAAAGAGTGTGCTAGAGGTGTAGAAACAGAAGGGCTAGAAACCTACACGTATTATGACGTATTGGGTTCGAAACAAAGGTGATGGTGGTGGTGGTGATGGTGATGGTGTTGGTGGTGGTGATGGAGAAAAGACCCTCCCTCCCTGCTGAGGAGGAAAGACCACAGGCGCAGAAACTCCTTTTTCAACCGATGATGAGAGGCGGGGCAGCGAGCCCGAGGAGCTGCCACGTGCGCCGCAGGCGGTCCATGCGCACCAGTAGGCGGCACGCTGTCCTGTCCTGCCTTAAAGCCTTAAAGTCTAGTCTTGTCTTGTCTCTTTATCATTGCCTTTCTTTTCTTTACAGCACTGCATAACTTATGCCACACAGAACCGAAACGAACCGTGAACCGAACCAAAAGTCCTTGAACAAATACTTCTACAACCAAACCGAACCGATTCGAAGTTTCAATGAAACATTCAAACCGATTCCAACCGAACCGAAACCTTAGTGGATTTGGCTTCGCATGCCTTCGCGCATGCACAAGACTGTGAGAGTCGCCTTCGCGGGCTGTGATGCAGTTCCACTTTTATACAGACCTTTACATGTCAATTAAACAAGCATTGCTGAAGCGGAAACAGCTGACACATGCAGCGTCGACGCTCAACATTCGCTCAAGAAAGGGCTTCTGGATGTGTTCGAAACATATGGTTTGTGGTCACCGCTTGGTGGGTTGGGCGGAATGCCATGTTTCTTCTTCCTCAACTACAACGAAACGATGTGATGCTGAGCTGTTAGTGTGGGTCACTGTGGTGTGTTGGGCTGTGTTGTTGCTGTATATGGAACAAAAAGAAGCCCCGATGTATCCATGCAATCAAGTCACAGCATGTGGCACGCAAATAGACACACAGCATCGAACTCGGTTTACGGCTGCCTGTCACCAAGGTGGGCGCTGGCCTGGTAAGCAAGATGATGTGCCGCTGAGCGGTCGTGGGCCACTGTGATTCCAGTAGCACACTTGCTACTGTGGCAGGTGTCTGGTCAAAACCCAATGCCTTTCTTGGGCTTCTGTTTGTCACCAAAACTGCTCTCTGCTCACGCTATGTGGGCATATGCGGCATATGGAACATACTTAAGGAACTGCAGCCAGGTCACATGACAGTCCGACGTCTGAATACAAGCTTCTTTGGTGACTTCCCCGAAGCCTAGTTTGATGCAAACAACAATGCATCTGCGCAGTAGAATCACATGCCAAGAGTAACAAACAGCTTCCAACAAGCGCGACTGGAATAGGAATGGACTGGACTCAGCCGTCGAGAAACAAACACGTGCGTGTTGCTCCCCACAAGAACTACATGCATCAATGAATCGATGTCTTTTGTGTGAGTGCGAAGAACAGAGGCCACATACCACAGCAGTCCCATCTCATGGTCCCTACAGAAAAGGTTCGCCTCCTTTGGAGACTTCGGAGAGGAACCTCGGGGCGCAGTGGTCTTGTTTCTGAAACAAACCTGTGAGTATTGCTCTCCTACAAAATCTGATGTGAATCAGTGTCTGTTGTGCGTGTGAAGATTAAGAGAATCCTGCCACTTTCGCCGACAGTATTCCGGCTATTGTTGCGGGACATCTCAGATCGAGCCCCATGGTCCCGACAAACATCATCAGCAAAGTAGAGAGGGCAGAGCCCTCGAGTCTTTTGTGTGCGTCACAACGAGAGCGCAGTCGAGAAGAGCACCCATTCGCACCCACCAGATTCTGCGAGCCTGCGCAGTCGAAATGCACTTCGAAGATCTCGAGGTGATTGAACGTACTGTAGGCGAATTAGCCGCACACGCCAACGCACCGCTACGATCAAACCCCTGCCTTAACACCTACTGTAAGAACCCCTAGTGTTATCACACTGTTTGGATAAAAAAATAACAACCCAAAAGCTAAGAAGAAATCGGGCAGAAATCAGAGCTTTCTGTTTTCTCATCCACACCTCGAAGATGGTCGACAGTGTAGCAAGATCCCCAGACACCAAAAGCTCCCAATGAGTGCGGGTCAAAGTGCAGGTCATTTGATCCAACTACCATGCACTAGCTCTCCACCGACCCTCCTGCTGCGACCCTCCAAATCCTCTGAACGACAAGGATCTCAAAGCAAAAACAATCAGACCATCGCAACGGACAGAATAGTTAATTAAGACTTTATGACTGCGGGCCTGCAGGCATTTCTTCGATAAGATTCTATAAGTCTATAAGTTTCAATGGGGTTGCACGCCTGAAGCATCTATACCTTCTGGTATCTTCTCGTATCCCTTGAATGGCCCGCCACCGGTCCCACTTTGGCTGTGCCAAGCAGCCGCCAAGCTGAGGGAATGGTTGAAGCCCAGTTTGGCTGAGTGTGGCATCCCTCGTGGGAAGCGGACCAAGCACCTAAAGCGGTCGAGCGACATGGACACTCCATGCATATGGGTATTCATGATCTCTTCACAGGCTCAAAACTGGGTGGTGCACGATCACTTCATGAACTCTTTCCCATGACAAATCACCATAAATCCACCATACATACTATTAATCCTCCCACAAATCTCACTTGATGTCATCAAACTACCATCACAAATTCACCCTAAATCCACCTGCTCGTCTGGGCGAACATCAGCCCACCTGCTCCCCACAAGTCGACCGTCCCCACCGGGCCCTCTCTCTCCCCCTCGCTATAGCGAGTGCCCGGGCATCGGTAAGGTGTCGGCCAGCTCCTCCTGGACCGGAGTGAGGCCTCGGGCGGTGGGCCGAACGGTGGAGTGGGGCATGTGTGCCGAGGGCGGACGAAGTGACCAGTCTAAAAAGGACCTTTAACCTGGGGTACCTATATAGGATAGTCGAACTACTGTAGGGTTCTGAACACCTCTGCTGGTGTGTGGGGATGGGGGTTTGAATGGATGAGATGAGAGATGAGATGAGTATTTAGCCAGGAATGGATTGTTGTCATGTTGACATTTGGGGGACCATGATTTGCCGCCTTGGCCAACGTCAGTGGGTATTCCACAGAGCAACATCATCCAAGTCCAAGTGCTTTACTGTAATTCTCAATATTTTCTTGAGGCGTGCTTATATAGCTTGGGAGCCAACTTCACAGCTGGTTCCTTTGTGTTTTTTTGACTCTCGCATGTGCGAGCAGCGGTTGAGCCCTGAGCAGATCCATAGAATATATGTTTCAAACCGATGAAATGATCAGAATCTGTTCGCATGAATCTAGAGAATCGTTGCATCCTTTGCAACAAGGAACAGCAAGGAACTTGTATAGAGCCACTTCTACCTCTGCAGACTCAATAGAGCTTGGCACAAAACCTATCTGGAACCTCAAACTCCACCTCCCGATGTCATGTCTCCATTAGCTGACTCAGAAACACAGGAGCAAACAACTTGAAGCATCCACTCAGGAAAGTACGGCAGCAAACCATTCAAGTTCGGATGACCATCAACCATCATCACCCCAACCATCATCCTTAAATCGCACAAGAAACGCTGCAGCATCTGAAAAAAAAGAAAACACCTACAGTACCTCGCATAACCTTGTTCTCTCTGTCTCTTTTTCATGCTGACTAGGCTGACTAGGACTATAGGTGTGACCTTCACCCCAACCCTTCGAGGTCCGAGCTGGAAATGTTGTACCAAGCCTTGGAGCCCATGTAGGGCCCAAACCTCGGTCAACACGAGAAAGGCCGGCACGGCAAATGCCGTCCGCCGCGGTGCCGAGATCCGGGGAGAAGTCAAGCTGCTTCAACTGGGCTTTCGTTCCCGACACCGGACTGACCGAAGTGGCTCCACTTGTTCATCCAAGAAGCTGGCTCCACTTGTCATCCGACGCGCTGTCTAAAGCGAAGCACACCTCGCCCCAGCGGCGGGTCTAGCACCGGTTTCGGACGGAGCTTTCTTTGGTCCGTTCAGGTGAAGAATCAGGGATGATGAGCCTGATTGCATGTGATGTGCCTGATTTCATGGTGCTTGGAGATGATGAGCCTGATTTCTTTTGGGTGCTTGATATCCGACCTTCAAAACGCTATCGTTGCCATCTCCCTGCTACCATCCGGTCCAAGCTGTTGAGGAGAGTCACTCGACAGCTTGCCACAGCCCAAAAATGCTCGCAAATGCCCTCTGCCCACAGCCCTCATCTGGTTTTCTGAACGGTTCTGTATGCAGAGTGACTTCTGGTCATCTATCTTGAACAAACGTCATCGAAAAATGCCTGTGGATTGAAACTCACATCTCATCACTCTCGATCCTATAGTGGATTGAGAGTACATGACACAGTTGGCCAAAACGCCCGACTGTCGGTGGTCTATATGACCCCCATGTCTTCAGGATCTACAACTTCAGGTCGCTCCCCATCCCACCAAGGCACCAAGGTCAGCAGCAACACCTGGGGCGGTCGGCTTTCACATGCGCCTTTTCTCTGTCGGCCATGCGCACGGACTCAACAAGGTACTTATAACATAAACACAGCTGGAATCTGTGGGACCAAGGGACCAATACTCTCCCTGGAACTAACATGGAAGTGAAACATCACCTCTTTGTAGTGGAAAATGCTCTTCCAAGGGCCCATTCTCCACTTCCATGTTAGTTCCAGGGGATGTATATCTTCCACTTTTCGCCTCCCCCCCTTCAGTCGCCGCCCAGTCGCTTGCACCGAGCCCAAGACGATCATGCTCGCCTCGCGGATGCACGACATGATCGTCGATCGAGGATCTCGGTCTGGCTTGGTCCGGCGGTGTTTTCCCACAGGGCGAAGGTTCTATTTCTAGGGGCTCCAACTATATCCTAATAATGCTGATAATACCTCTTGTGAAGGTGGTTGGGGTGGGGGTCTAACCACCGAACCTGAGGATATGGGCCAGGAGCCCTAGGGTATATGCCTGGAAATACCTGGGGTTTTACTTCCAGTCCCAAGCAGAAACCAACATGTTTATCTTTTTTATATCAATTTCAAGCACTTGTGATGGAAAGGACGAAACATTTTGCAATATTTGGGTTCCAACATGTTCCAACATGTTATGTAATGTACCATTTGTTTCTGGTTGGGGCCAGGTTTCCATCCCATTTGGGCTTCGTCCCAACCTCCGTTTGAAGGTGAAGGTGGCTGGGGTGCCACAGGCGGGGTCTATCCCTCTTTTGGGATGTGGGCCAGGAGCTCTTTAGTATATTTTTTTTGTGGAGATACATGGCAGAGTTTTGCGTGACTGATACGATTGTATTGTGTTTGATGTGATGTAATACATCCAAAATTTTGAGTTTAGTTTCAGCAATGGAGCTCATATCAATTCCACCCCCAAAAGAGATGCTAACCCCAAAACCAATTGAAGGAACACACATACAATATAGACACATAAACCATCAACCTCACTCACCAGCTAGCAGCGCCATGCGCACACCAAAACACCACCCTCATCCCTCCACCCCCAAAGCCTAACCGTTCCCCTCGACGACCTCCACGTCCGCCCCACCGGCCCCGGTGGCCCGTCTGGGCGCTCCGTGCCAAGCGGACGCGTTCACCGGAGTTGATCTCCCGTTGGTAGCCAAACCTGGGCTCCGGCAGCTTGCTCCGGCGCAGGTGTGGCCGGGGAGGTAGGCCAGGGCGTCTGTCTCTAGGCGGGGTCATAGGTGACTCTGGAGCTGAAGCTTCATCCAGGTGCATCTGCAACATAACGCCATATAGGGTCCATCCCGGTGGCTTCGCCACTTCGCCTGTGCAATCGACCGCCCGCAGCGGCCGCCCGCCCATGACCTGCAGGTGAGGAGCTGTCTCATGACCTGAACATCGGATCGAAATGATGGTCCACTGCTGGAGGCAACTGACAAGATCAGCATGTTTGGGTGGTCAAACACAAGAATCCGTCAATCGTCGTTCACTTCTACTGACAAGATGTGGTTGTCAGGAAATGATCATCACGTATACAAAAGTTGGAAGTCTAGAGTCTAAAGTCTAAAGCCTCTGTGAATGTACAGCAGCTGCATCTCCTGACATGAGATCAACTAAAGGATTGATTCATGGGTGACATTAGACATTTGGTCTTTCGACCTTTCTTGGACATCAAGTGGCTCAGGATGGCAGTAGCAGCCCTTGTGAAAGCTTCTGAACCTCCATAGATCTCCAATGATCTCCATAGCTTGTCAGAAGAAGACACACTACAGCAAATCTGTTTAGAAGCGCTAGAGACACCCTCGAACCCTCGAGTAAGCAACAGGGTTTCTGGAGGGCATGCTTCCTACCGACCCAAAGATTGAGGACCATTTTTCTGCCTCATAGTCTGACTCAAAGCTTCTGCAACGTTCTTGACACAAATCACCTGAAACACACATCCTGAAACCATTTGGCTTTCAGCACTTGGTCATCTGAATATGTTCATACATATAATGATCCAACCACCAGAGCTCGCTTTCTTGCTTCTTAAGGACCACCTTTCCTACCCAGGACCACCTCACGGCTCCATTTCTTCGCGGCTCCACCCTTCCACCAATGCTCCTCCCCCCGCACCAGTCCCAGTCCCTCCGCCCGAAGTGTCTCGGTCGGCCAAAAGGAAGGTGAGCCTTCCATGTTTCCAAGACACACAGAGAAGTAACACCACGGCCCCATCTCTCATGGCATTCCGCGTGGTCCTTGGAGACCGTGAGACGAGGCCCACGTGTGATGGTCACACGTGGTAGGAACACATTCGAGTAACAGGAAGCTACGAACGTAACAGGCTGCATCGCTACTAGTAACAAGGGCATTACGACTAGTAACCAGAAGCTACTAGCAACAAGTGCATCTCTACTGGTAGCTTCTTTTTACTAGTATTAATGCCCTTGTTACTAGTAGCGATGCAGCCCGCCACTATAGTAGCATGAGAACGTGTGCACACAAAATTGGACAACAAGATCTAGGATGATCCAAGATTCGTCGGCAATAGCTCTTCATTTGGATGTTTTAGAGGAAGAGCTCACCCCTTTTCGCCTAAGAACCTCCCTCTTTCGCCTTCACCTCTTCGCCATTCCGTGGTCGATGGCGACACTCCACGGCTCCGTTTCTCCAAGACGCGTTATGATGAGCACGTTCAAGAGGATAAACTCAATGAATGACTCCTGAGCTCGTCCAACGTGTTGCGGTGAGGATCGGATCGGATCGTCCCATCATCGCGTGAGCAAACGGTGCGGAGGATGGGAAGTGAAAAAGAACAAAATCACCGGAGCCATGGCACAGGTGACGACTTGAGGAAGCCATAGGAAGCCATAGGAAGCCTTGAGTCGTTCCTACGTGAAGAATCAAGGAAGCCATACTTCTACTGATCGGTTGCGGTGGATCTTGTAACCCTCAGCCGTTGGCGATAGCGAGTAGAGATCGAGGGAGCCCTGTCTAGGACATGCTTACAGTGTAAGCTTTTCAGCAGAATATGTGGCAAATCAGGGAATCCTGCTGAACAGGCAGTAATTGGCATAATGCATGGTACATAAACACCACGAAATCACGAAACACATACGATGGACCCTGAACTTCAGTTGACGCAGCTTCTCCAGTTGTGATGGTCGGCAAAAACTGCGAAGGTCCCACCACCTCTCAGGGGCAACCTCTCTTGGTGGATCCTCCTTTTTGAAAGCAAAGCCATCAGATCACGTCAGGACTTTCTGCGAAAGTGTCTGAGTGTCTGTGTCCGTCACTTGCTTACATTGCTCGAGCATCTCTGAGTGGCGGACGAAACGTCTTTGCTTCCAAAAACACGCCAAGTTCATACTTTTGCCGTTGGCCCCCCCATGTTTGCATGTATATATGTTAGGGTGTGTTTTTTGGACTCATTCTTAATGTAGTCCTCAGATTTATAAACCACCCTAGAATTATGTCTTTTTTTCCCTGCACTGATTTATAAAGGCCCCAAGAATAATGTTTGTTTTTTTTGGAGGGGTAGTTGTAGTGGATCTTTTTTTTTGTTATAGTTTACTTTTTCCCTTTTGAATTTGCTGGGATTTGCTTATCTTACAGGGTTTTGGATTGAGATTTCTATTAAACATTTGGAGATTTCCATTGAGATTTGATGCTTTTGGAGGCTTTTGGATGGACATTTCTATTAAAAATTTTGAGATTTCCATTGAGATTTGATGCTTTTGGAGGCTTTTGGATGGAGATTTCTATTGAAATTTTGGAGATTTCCATTGAGATTTGATGCTTTTGGAGGCTTTTGGATGGAGATTTCTATTAAACAATTTGATATGTCCATTGAGATTTGATGCTTTTGGAGGCTTTTGGATGGAGATTTCTATTGAAAATTTGGAGATGTCCTTTTCTTTGCCTTTTGATTTGCTTTACTCACCCTCTATTCCTTATTTACTTTTCCTAAGCTCTTTAGTTGTGAAGCTTTCCAAAAGTTTCCAAAAGTCAGTGCGCACTTTCTTTATAAAATCCCTTATTCAAAAGTATTGAAAAACAAAAAAAATCAATCAAGCAAAGGGGGTAGTCCAGCAAGCAGCTTTCTGACATTATTTAGGGGGGGCCCCTAGAATAATGTCTAGAGATTTGAGGCTTCAAATCTGTGTTTCCTTTTCTTTGCCTTTTGATTTGCATTCAAGCAAAGGGGGTAGTCCAGCAAGCAGCTTTCTGACATTATTTAGGGGGGCCCCTAGAATAATGTCTAGAGATTTGAGGCTTTAAATCTGTGTTTCC